CTTACTGAGTAGTTTTTTCTCTGAGCATATATCATTCAACTTCCTTTTTTTTGTGACTTCAAAACTTCTTTTTTCTTTATTTAACTATAACAGTTATAACTTTGACATCATAACTGCATGAGTACTTAATGAAATTTATCAAAAAGACGAATGGTTAAAGATAATGATTATTGATAGTGTCGGAAGAATGAATGAAATTTTAAATTTGCTCCAAATTACCTTGAAATATTTTATTTTTATTTTTTTTTTTTTAGATGATTATTTTAATACTTATTGTACTAAAATTTTAATGCAATCAGTCGCCTTTTTTTCAAAATATAATTTTTTAGATTACTGTTTTATCATTTCTTTATCATATTATGGAAGATGTAACACATTGGCATGATAAGATGTGAAGTCATTATTAAATGATAATAGTGATTTGATATAAGTCAAATGATCGATATTAATGATCTTTAAAAGAATATTAAAATGGTAAAGTGTTAATTTTTATGATGATGAAAGAAGAATGATAACAGCTTTCATGTAGGTGATAAATTTCAAGTCATTAAATCATAATGTTTTTATCAACTTTTTAATTTTACATTTTAACCAGTTTCATTATTCAGTTTCTTTTTCCTTCCTATCATATCTGCTAATTTGATCCGAATTACAATTTTACTTACTATTAAAATTGATAAAAATTATATTCACTTAATAACATTCCAACGTTTGTTTGTAATTTTTCGAAAAATTAATGCAAAATTGAGAAAAAACATACTGATTAATGAAAGAAAATGTTGATTTAAAAAATAATGAATTATTTCTTTCATTTTGTTACTCAATTAATTATTAGTGAATATGTTTTAAATTTCAGACATTTTTTCTTTTAAAAACAATAAAATTTCAAAATTAATCTAAAAAACATGAAAGAGATAAAAAGACAAATATAATAATTAAATTAAGCTAAACATTTTAGTAAAACATTTTTTACAACTAGGTGTTTCAATTTCAATCTTTTTACAGCTAGGTATTTCAATTTCAATCTTTAAATTATTTTTTTCTTTCTGAAAACAAAACTATGTTTGAAAATTATAAAACAATTTGCTTTTGTTTCTTTCTTGCTTTCTTTTTTTTTTTTTCTTATGCTTATGATTTATTTGTATCATTAAAAATGATTTCTATTTTTAATTTCCTTTCCTTCCAATATTTTTCTTTTCTTCTCTCTCTTTTTTTGTTAGGCAATGAATGAAGAAAATGAAATTATTTCAATTTTTGAAAAAGAAAGCGAACTATTAATTATTATGTAGGAAAAGTGATAATAGGAGCATTCGTTTTATCGCTATTAAAACGAATAATTTAAACTTTCCTCAATCACTACACATACTCATCTTAATTGTCACTATATGTACTTCATAATTATCATTATACATATATTATAACTATCATTATATATCCCTTATAATTACCATTATATATTCTTTGTAATTATCATCATACATCTTTATAATTATCACTATACATACATTATAATTATAATTATACATTCCCTGTAATTATCATTACATATTTTTTGCAATTACTATTATATATTCTTTGCAACTACCACCATATATACTTTGCAATTATCACTATATATGCATTACAATTATTGTCATTTATTCGTTGTAATTATCATTATATATATTTTTGTATGTACACTTTGCAATTATCATTATATACTGTTTGCGATTTTCTCTCTTCTTTTTATTATAAAATTTTTGAAATCATAAATTTAGTATGTGTTTTATTTAAATAAGAAATGCTTGTTTACAAGAAAAAATTTTACAAATATTTATTGTAGCAATTACAAAATTAGCAAACATTGTCAGAATATAGTTCTCATATATGAACTATACATAGTATTATTCATATCTCATTTGAAAAGTTATTTTAAAAATAGAATATGTAAAGTAGTAACTTGAAAGAAAAAAAAAACTTCAAGAAAGAATATATAAAATAAAAACGAATATATATAATATATATAATACATAAAATTAGTTCTTTCCTTAATCATTTAAGAAACTGAATTTTCTTCGAAATAACTTTAACACGATGTGCTTCTACAATTTAAAATAGTTTGTATTCAAATGAAGTACTATTACATAAATAAAAAAAAAAAAAATTTAAAAAAAAGTGGCAAATCATTGTTGATGTTAAAAATGAAAATATTTTGATTAAAATAATGTGAATGTTTTCTTTCGGTTTAGTTTTTTCCTTTTTTTTTTCTTTTTTTTCTGGTTTTTTGATATCGCGCAAACAGTTCATATTTATGATTTTTAAATAAAATTTTATAATCTTATAACTAAGGAAGAAGAAACATATACACCGATAATGTGTGGTTTATTGGCATCAATTCATTCTCATCATAACGATGCCAACAAAAAGTTAGTTTTATCGTCCATTTTTAATTTTGAAATTATTTCGAACTGTCAACTTTTTTCGTTTTTAAATCTACTTCTCTAATTTTTAACTTTTCCAGGACTGTTTCAAATATTATGCGCATTATGCAAACCATTTCGTTTATTTTTTCAAAAAATTATTCACATTTTACGCCTCAATTATAATCAATCTATTTGTATACACATTTTATATAACTCTATTTGTATAAACTTATGACAGATATATATAAATAAAAAATATTTATGGTAGCAAGAATTAACATTTTTAATTAGATCATCATGCAGTAATTTTATATCAGCATTGTTAAGAGAATTTCGAAGTCATTAAAATAATTTCTGATTAAAAAAAAGGAAAAAAGAAAAAAGCAAGAAGAGAAATTAATTATATTCTTGATCGTTTCCAACATATTAGCCCAACAAGTCCATTGCTTCAACTTATATTATTAAGCAGAAAAAAAATGTACTTTAACTTCAAAATCCTTTTTTTATCGTTCCTATCTATTTTCTCTCACTTTCTCTTCTCCTATTTCCATTTTCCATTTGATGAAAGCAATTTTTCATCATTGTGCTTTAATTTGCATTTCTTTTTCTTCAATTTTCATTTCACAGAAAATAAAAATGTGAATGAGAAAGGAAATTTTTTTCATTATCTAAGCAAAATTCATTTTCATTAAATTTATTGATGAAATTTTGGTTTTATATTATGATTATTATTATTGTTGATTAACTAATTTATTTATTTATTTATTGTTATTGTTATTAATATTATTATTACTGTTATTATTATTTATTATTACTGTTAATATTATTACTATTATTGCTATTGTCATTATTTATTACTATTATTATTATTATTATTATTATTTATTATTATTATATTATTATTAATTATTATTATCATCGGCATTTTATTTGATCCTCTTGCAGTGTTATTAAAAACTATGCGAAGTATTCATTTATTGCTTCAAATGGTATGAATATTGCTATTGAAACGTTGAATTAAAAATGAAAATAGAAGTGAGAGTAAGAGTTAATATGGAAGTGAATGTAAAGATGAATGAGTAAGTGTTAACTTACATTTATTGTTTACTTATATTATGTCGTAATTAGCACAGTTGCTTATTCTCTCATACTATTATTATGGATGTGTGCCTTCCAACGAATTATCTTCTACTGCACTACTTCTATCACTGATATCATTACTATTATCATTACTGCTTAATGCTATTTACTGCTCATTACCCACGCTATTATCCTTCTTATTTATTCATATAATTCTTTCCCTTTGTTTTCTTATACTTCTCTCTCTCTCTCTCTTCCTTCTCCCTCTCATTCTCTTTTTCTTCCTTTCTCAATTATTTTATAACAAAAATAAATTTAAATTTACGACATTTTGTTCTCATTTTTTTTTCTCTATACATTTATTTAATGATAAACACTGAATGAAAAGAGTCTTTATTTTTAAGCTTACTTTCTTTTTTTCTTCTTTGTTCATTATATATTATATTAGAATTGTTGATTGGAAAGAATCAAAAAGTGATGCAATGAAAATGCATTATCATTTCATTATTGACAATAGATATCACTAGCTTGGAGAATATAAATTGAAAGAAATGAAATTTGTTATAGATAAATTGAAAGAAAACAGATGAATAAGAAATTTTTCATTAATGAAAAAGATTATGCATACATTTGCTTCAGAAACCATATTTCTCCTTCTTTTTTTGCTTAGTTAAAAGGAATTTTAAGATTCAAATCTATCAGCGATTATTGATTTTGCTTGAATGATTCTCAATCATTGCATACATATTCTATGAAATGTGAAAAAGAATCAGGAAAAAATAAGCTGATATTATCGAGTTTTTCAAATTAGATTAATTTATTCTAAATCATATGACGTAATTTCAGATCATCTCATGGAATGAAAATTGAATGTTACTCGGAAACTTATTCATCAGCTACTGAAAAATATCATAAACTTAAAAGGTTATACTAATCCTATTGTTTTAATTCGTTGTTTGAAATTAAAGATTATTATTTATTCAATATAAGTTTGCAGGGTTTTTGGTGATGTACCCACCTGTGTGCCGTCAAATCGTTTATGTAAATTATTGTATTGGACCTGTCGAAGGATACAGTTCTGGTTTTGTTTTTATAATGAGGGCAAGTTTGCTCTTTCTTATAACACATCGTGTTATACGTTAGGCGCATTTGTCACACTTGTAATACTATCTTTTAGCTCACTTTCATGTCATTATTAGTTGTTTCTTAGATATTGTTATAGATTGATATTTGAAAATTGACAAACCATTGAAATTCAGTAATCATAATTACTCATTTTACTCTGAGACTGTAAGTCATAAGGATATGTATGATATCCTTTAGAAAATAATGTTTTTTCTGCCGAATCTATGCATTTTTTGACAAATATACCTGCTACCGTTATTAGCAACGTGGGAATTATAAAATAATAAACTAAAAAAGTTATTGTGGACAGTAATAATAATAATAGTTAATAATAATAATATTAAAAATAAATAATAAAACATTAATAATGAAAAAACCATAAATTTTCTAGATATGGAAATGGATGTTGAAGATTTATTATCTAATCCATTTAACACACAACCTCCTTCATTGAATGAATTAATTCATGTGACTGGATTTAATAAAGATTGGATTATGTTTATGTATCGAAATTTCAAACAGGTTAAGCAAATTTCATTACTTAATAGTTGCATTAATTTAAAATTGTTTCATCATTATTTTTGCACTGTTGCACTTGTAATTGTCAAAGATGTTTTAATTTATCAAATAATCATTTATTTCTACTACAAACGTTTTTCAAAAACAAATATTATATGAGAATTTCTGAAAATTTTTAAATCTGAAATAGTATAAATGATAAAACGAAAATAGCAGAAAAAGTTTGCTTCCATTTTTTTTTACTATTCTTTGGTATTGCATAAGCTTACTTTTAATTAATACTTACTGTAGATATGCTCAAATGGGCGAATGCCATTACAGCAGTGGAGACGAATATTCCAGCTTATATTTCCCAAATCAGCAAATAGTGAATTTGCTGATCGTGTATTTCGAGCTATTGCCGGTGATAAAACCTCAAAACATATTACTTTCGAGGTATTCATGACATATATATTCTCTTAAAAAAAAACTATAAGTAATAGTTTAGCTATCATTAGAGTTAATAAAATTAATTGTATTAGAGTTAAAAAAAAATTAATGCAACAGATTTAATTACACAAATTGAATTAATGTAAGTTTAAATTTCTTGTTTCCTTTTAAGGAATTAATATTATGCTTACACCGAATAAGTGAATGCTATTGTATTTACGCATCAACAAGTTCACAAAATTCATCTGCTCATTTCTCAAGGATTGCACAATTTGTTTTCTTGTTGATGAAACCAAATGATCATGTTAGCTTATCCATTATATACACATCAGCTGATTAATTTCATTAAAATTATGCTTCATTTATTATGCTCACTGTTTTATCATAATTTGATCAGTGTAAATTGCTAATTTAAAATTATCATTTGTTTTAATTGAGAAATTTTCAAAAAAAAAAAAATCTAGAAAGTAGATTTACTAAATAGATGAAATATTTATTCATAATCGCTATTATTTCATTTTTTTAGGAACAAATAAATTTAGATGGTTTTAAAAACTATGCTGAAGCTGTATTCAGTTTAAATGTTCCATCGATGGCATATAATTCGCATCATTTATTTAGCCAAATGCATGTTTCTAATAATCATAATGGTCATAATAATAGTTGTTCATCGATGCCATTTCAATTTCCGTCAAATTTCAAACATTACACATTGCAATGTTTCAATGTAAGTTTATGCAGTGATCTAATGTCAACAAAATTTTTCCTTTCTATTTAATTATTGTTTTGTCTAAGTATGCCTAATAAACAATAATTTAATAATAATAATAACAATAATAGTGGTAGTAATAATTATCAGTAGTAATAATGATAATAATAAGTTATATATGGAGGATGCTTCTTAAGTAAAAACCAGGAACTGTTGAACAAAAAAAGTGAACAAATGTTATTTCCCAGTTTTATTTTCCACTTTTATTGCTTTCTTCATTTAATATATTTATCCAAAAAAATTTATTGTAGGATTAAATTTAGGAAATGGATATGGATAATGATGGAATTATAAGTTTTGATGATGTGAAAAGGGTATTAACTCCTGAATGTGATTCGATGCGACTTTTTAAAGAAGCTCATCTTTTGCATTCTTGATATTTGACGAATAAAAATTTAAGAGTTTTGCATCATGCATTATTTCTGTTCATTGTTGCATTTCATGAAATTAAAGAGATTTAGGAAGCATTTCCATCATGTAAAATAAGGATTGGTAATTTAAATGTTTCGTTTTTTACGACAATCATTATCATCTTAGATGCCTGTAAGAGTTGGATTTCGATGTTGCTGATGATGATAGTGATGATAATGATAAGAACGATAATGATGATAATAATGGTCATGACATAGTGATAGTAGTAACATCAAATTGAGCGTAACGATGGGAAACAAAAATTGGAAAAGAAAGAAATTGGATGCATTGTCGACGTTAGCCGTGCTTGCTAGAAACTGTATAATTACAGTAACGTCTGCCAATAATGAAGTGTAAATACAGTACTGAAGTTGGTTCAGTATGATTATACATGTCCTGTGCGCATCATCGTCGGGGTTTTCGCTTATTTACTCTTCTTTTGCACTTTTAATTCTCTGTAATTCAATTTCAAACAATAAAAATTGCTGAAAAAATCTTCAAAGCAGATTGTTTATTCCAGTTCAAATTTACAAAACTGACTACATATGATATTCATAACCAAAACTTGAAAACTTTGAAACTCATTTATTAGAACAACATACTACTGATTAATAGGCGCAAATAATCAACAGTTGATAATTCTGAAGTTGAAATGAAAAAGACGAGCATAATATGAACAAATAAATTCACGATGTTCATAAGTTGTATCGTTTTGAACTTGAGAAATATGAGGTAAAAATCGTTACTTATTCATTTGTTGTATTGGAATTATGATATCATGTTATAAAGTCATCCATTTGACCGCAAGTGCACATTATTTCCAATATTTTCCGGATGTGAATAATCTACTTTAATTCATATGAAAGCAAAAGATGACATGACTTGGAAGCGAATTTCAGATTAGCTTTTAATCATATGTCTTCTAAAGACAACGAATAAATGTAATGATTATAGGATGCTGTAGAAATTTATTCAAAGCATTTGGCTTTTAAACTGCTTCATGCATATTCCCAATTCGCATTCTTATCACTTATCACTGTGATATAACCGGTATTATTTTTTTACCCAAAAAACTCTTCTTCACATACACAAATTTCATATTATTCATATTTTAATTCTGAATGTTTCTGCATATACCCCGTGGTTTGTATTGGCATAAATTATTATTTGGACAAATAAGTAAGTTTACTTTTCCCATGTAACTACTTCATGTAAGTAACGCTTTGCAGAACGGTATGAATGTGATCGTTGCAACAAATTACCGTTCATCCTGTTCCTTATCTGATCTTACGAATTAACAAGAAAAGAGAAATACTTTTGAGAATTGAAATACTAAACAAGAAAGTTAAATTAAGTTATTTAGAGATTTAATTGATTATTATTTAAATATAAGAAAGCATTCAAATTCATTCGTGCTTTTGCATCCTTCAATCCATTACGAAGTATCAATGAAAAAAAAAAAAAGAAAAAGCAGTTACATATCAATTATTCGACGCAAATAAACAATGGAAATAAGAAATTTATTTGTAAAGCAACAATCTGTAAAGAATGGCTTATAATTTTTGATGACTGCGATTCTTGATGGCATTGCGATCTTTAATAGCTGAGGACCGAAATGATAATTCTTATGAGTTAGGTCAATCAGTTTTGTTCTGTGATAGTAAACTATTTCATTTATCAATTGGCTACTGTCTATTTCTTGAAACACTGAACCAAAATCGGAAGGAAAAGTAAGGCAAATTAATTACTAAAGGGAAAAGTACTTTTTGTAAATAACTTTTGATAAGATTCTTTTTCATTTCCGAATAGTCTTAAGAACTGTTCCTGAGAAAGAGAAATGAGAAATGCAAATATAAAACAAATATTTATGAAAACGAGAAGATATGCAAATATCTTAATACATATGCATAAAGACTGTGCAATAAAGTAAGATACTTTTTCTCCTTACGAGAAAATCATTTGCTCTCTCTTTTAATCACTTTGTTTTTCTCAATTTGACATCATCGTGTTATGCACATTGCCACTATTTTACTGGTAAATATGATTTCTTTTTACGATTTTTCTTTGATTCAATGCAAATTTCTGCTAAGTTTCTTAAATAAATTGAGTAATGCAATAATTCCACTTAAAATGAACTTCCAAATGTCTTCTAGTTTTTAAATCATTTTTAAATAATTAAATTTGGTTTCTTCAGCAGTTCTTTACATTTGGCATTGTTAATTAATATGCTTATGTGATTATGGGAGCAATCAAAGAGTCTGGAATTGTTGCTTCCGCATTGTTGTGAAGGAAAATTTATATCAAAAGATTCTTAAATTTTTAGAGATAAATTAGAAACAGCACAAAGTATTGGCTATTCATGTGGTTTAAATTGATCCATTCAAAAGTCCCCTCATAGGCTTTTCGCATTTATTTTATTTTATTTTTTTACCAAAATCGAAAGTAATATATATATAGCAAATCGAAAAATATGCATCTCTAAAAATTTTCATTCATTTAAAATTTTTAGCAATTAGAAATAAATTAAATGAATTAAAAACACAAAATTTGAATCTTTGCTAAGAATAAAAAAATCGTATCAATTTTTCCAAAATTTTCAAAATCAGTTAAATGTTGTTTATCAAAAAAAATATATGAAAGCGCAGCTAGCTAATCACCTTCTAGGTATTCTTTCTTGGTTTAGCTGAAATTTATTCCATTGCAATAATCCATCATTAATTTGATCATTAGAACAATAATAAACTACAACATATATATATCCAATATTTTTGCTTAAATTAAATTTAATTTTCAAGAAAACTTTAAATTGAAAAAAAAATTAAGAAATTATTTTTTTCTTTCTATTTATCACATATACCACAATTAAAATCAACTAAATCGTATTCCATTATTATTTGTTCACATGAGAAGCAATGATAAACTGATAAAATGAATTTAATCAATCAAAAATGATAAATGTAATATTATCATTATTGAATTAAAATAAGCAACGACTAAGAAAAGTTATTACCACTTGTATCAGATGTATGACCAAATAAACCACTTCTTGAACTACGAGCTAAATTATTAACCTGTTTTTACAAATTCAAATTCATAGCCATATCAAAATAACCTGTTTCCTGAAATGGTTACGAAAACAAAAATCCAATTAATAATTAATGCCACTGTCACAGATTTATGGAATTTTTATGTGGATCAAACTCTTGAACTCATCAAACATCTTTCAGTTTTAGACAGATTGTAAAGTTCTAATTAAATTTTGCACATTTTTGAGTTCTGAATTAACTTTTTTCAATTTCAATACACATTGCATATTGCGTATAAATAGCCATTGTTGTTCAGATAGAGGAACGTCTTTTCGTTCGAAAACGACTCATATTAACTAGAAAATTCCACCTGAATCGAAGAATAAGTAGGAAGAGTGAAATAAAATAAGGTCACCCAACTGACGAATTAATAAAATCGCCAAAAGCACATAATACTCCTTTTTTTTTTTTTTTTTTTGGTGGATGAATCAAACTAGTTTTAACGAATAATTATTAAATGCTATTCAGAAATGTAATCAAAAAGAGAAACATGCAAATTAAAATTTAAATAAAGAATAAAAAAAGATACATAAGAAAGATGCATGTAAATTGCTATTAAAGTTAAAACTTAGGAACCATTGGGATTATTAAGAATCTTTTGATATAAATTTTCCTTCACAACAATGCGGAAGCAACAATTCCAGACTCTTTGATTGCTCCCATAATCACATAAGCATATTAATTAACAATGCCAAATGTAAAGAACTGCTGAAGAAACCAAATTTAATTATTTAAAAATGATTTAAAAACTAGAAGACATTTGGAAGTTCATTTTAAGTGGAATTATTGCATTACTCAATTTATTTAAGAAACTTAGCAGAAATTTGCATTGAATCAAAGAAAAATCGTAAAAAGAAATCATATTTACCAGTAAAATAGTGGCAATGTGCATAACACGATGATGTCAAATTGAGAAAAACAAAGTGATTAAAAGAGAGAGCAAATGATTTTCTCGTAAGGAGAAAAAGTATCTTACTTTATTGCACAGTCTTTATGCATATGTATTAAGATATTTGCATATCTTCTCGTTTTCATAAATATTTGTTTTATATTTGCATTTCTCATTTCTCTTTC